TTTTTTCCCAAATAACCATAGTTTGTTCTGATTGTGGTCACAAGAGCATAGTTTAATGTTTTCAGACCACTGGTATCATTTTCACTGGGAGCAAGAGCTTGCAATTACTGAACATGGGGGCAAAAAAGGAAATTCGGGCTGCAAAGTGTTGAAGTGCTAAAAGGGTGTCTGTACAGTGAGCACAAAATGAGCAATCCTGTCTTACTCATTTAGCAGTCCTACCATCGTGCTCCTATGACACAACAGTTTACCCTTAAAAACCCCAAAGCCCTCAATTTAAATAAAAATTATACTGAAGTTCCTAATAGAGCTTCTGTTGTTGCATTATGACCGCCTGGGAGGGTGCATCATTAAATTCTGTTAGGTTGTATCCGTTACCTGTCTGTCTTCCCCGTTCTGAGGAGGCAGGCCTGGAGGGATGGGGTGTGAGTGGCATCCTCAGCTGAGTGGAGGGGCCAGCAGGCTCTGCCAAGATGAGCCCTGATACACCGCCCAGCCCCTGTGGCATCTCTGCAAGGGAGGGTGAACATTTAAGGTCCTTGCAGTGCTCAAGGCACCAGGCATTTTGTCACCGTCTTTAGAGACAGTAGAGTCAGAACTTTAGTGTGGGTAGTGGTGTGGTTCCAGGCACCTAGCAGCTCCCTGAGTCTGGAATGATTCTTACGCTAAGCAAAGCAGACAGTGACAGGTTGCAAAACCTGCACCGTGTGACAAATGTAAACATACACCCACCCCTGTTTCCCTGGAGGAAAGTCTGCCTTTCTGTCTTCTTTCTCGCCCTGAAGGCGAGCTTCAATTGTTCATTCTCCCTTTCCCCCAGGAAGACAATTCTGAAACCACAATCACAGTTTTCTTAGCTGCCTGTAACGTCATACGTGGAAGTCTCACTTTCTTTGTGATAGAAGGAGTCCCACGCATTTGGAAGTGTAGCCCTTTTCATCTTATTTTCCTAGCCCAAATCCTTCTCTCAGTGACTCCATGTTTAGGATAGCAGTGGAAAATTTGGTCTTCCTTGTCCAGCATTCCAGCCTTTGCATTATAATGCACTGAAATGTGTGGTAGTCAGTGACTGCAGGTCAGGGTGGAAAAAGCTACCTGGACTGCAGGAGGAAAGAGATAATTTCAAGGCACACTCGGAGAAACTCTCAGAAACATGCTCTCCAGGGATGGTAATCACTTCTACCTACCGATCCAGCAGGAGGGCTTAGCACCTAAAGGGTGCTGTCCTTTGGGGATTAAATTGTAGCAGAATTTCTGCTGCCTTGGTGTGTAGATGGATTTTGCAGTTTCCTCCGTCTGTATGCTTTTCAGCTTGCTAGGAGATGGAAGTTGATTGCTTTCATGACATGCCTTCTTTCACAGATTTTTTTTCTTCTCCTTAAGTCTTTTGCTGTCTTCATTCTGTGTTATAAAGCGTGCTATTCCAGATACTTCTAGATTTGCTGTACAATTATCATATAACATGAATTATTTTGGATGGGAGTAAACAGAAGAATTACCAGTAAAAGAGAAAGAACTTTACTCAAAAAGTTACTAAAAAAGTTGCTTGGAAGCAGAAATAGTTTACTTCTCTAGTTTGGATTTAYAATTCATGTGGAGAGAGAGGATGAATCAAAAATGAACTTTTTTTGTTCATTTTAGAACACTTGTGTGCTGCAATGTAAAGAACTTTTCTACATTTAGTTCTGCCCATATTGGCCAAAAAATAGGGAATGCTTCATGAATTTGCATGTCACCCATGTGCAGGGACCATACTAATACATGAATTTAAAATTAACCTTTTTGGTGCTTCGGTTCCCATTCCCACTGAGGGTAGAAGGAATCAGCAATCTGTGGCGCTGGATGAGAACCCCAAGAAGAGGATTTGCAGCACATTCGATGTAACCACTCCCTCTATAAATGTGCTGCCTTGAGCATTGGCAGCACATATACATATTTATCCTGGGTGACATACAGTTAAATCTGATCAACAAAACACCACAGAAATCCTCTCACGTTCCTGTGTCTTTATTTAACAGTTGCATTTAAAATGCACTTTTGTAAGTGTAAGTTCYGAATTGATTGGACACTGCAACATGATCAAGCTTGATTCAGAGGAACATCCTCTCAAACACATTGTGGTCTAAACATAACTGTCTTGTCTCATTTCCCCGAGGGTATATACTAGTTATTATGCTGTGATATTTTGTTATACCTTCATGAATGATGGCTTTGAGATGTACATTTCTCATTATCGCAGCCTGTGTAACTCATGTGTGCAATATTTTATAAAATAAAGAGACATTCAAAAGGATAACATTAATTCTGTTCTCTCTGTTCTCTTCCTTCTCCACTGTGGTTTTGTTTTTGTTTTCTGAAAATGGATGTAAAATTTGAACATTTATTTTTATTAAAATATCTTTATTACAGATTTAGTACCACAGTAGTTATACTGCAGACAATTGCAGCAATAAGCCAACTTTTTATGTGTGCTCAAAGGCATGTTGTTTTGGTGGGTTAAATTGGATGCTACAGGAACACATTAAGAAACTTTACATTATGAGAACATGTTAAGGGCTGGACAAGGGAAAGGGGAATGTTTTTACAGCAATGTGGTTGGAGTGCCTTGCCCACTTCTGAGGTGCAAGATGTCCCATATAGAGGGGAATAACATCTGTCTCCCTCCCAATATCTGCTGGAATTTTACCTGGATTCTGATCTCACACTAAGATGTGTGGAATTAAAGTGTGATATTAAATAAAAAAGGAATTGAATTTACTGTCTGTAGAACACAGCTGAGAAAAGTTTCCTGTTGATTGGTTCTCTAAAACGCTATAACTCCTTTCTTCTGCACATGATATTTGAAGATGAACTCACTCAGTAAGTTTATGGGAACTTTAACTATTTAGAAATAAATCACAAATCTTTAAGAWTCAGAAATGGGGAATCAAGCCAAACTGTCTGAGTACAATCAGCCAGGCAAATCSTGAAGTATGTTCTTTTCTTTCTCCCTCTTTTTATCCCACCTCTGCCATATACAATCTAAAGTGTTTTTTGCAAATCTTCTCACTAGAAATCTTAGGGAAAAAAAGTGTTTTGTAGATGTTTTCCTTGCTGAGGAAGTCAATAATGAATTAGAATGGTGGGATTTTTTATACTTTCAATCAGATTGAATCATATTAAAGGGGTGACTCTTACATGCCAAGTTTTTTCAAGGCATAAGGAGAAGTGGTAGACTAATTTCACATGACAAAATGAAGCAACTTTTGAATCTAGCCTGGCTAAAATGTTGAACCTGTGATAGTGCCTGTTGTTTTCAGCAGTACAATATCTGCCAGGCTTCCCTCCTTCCAGCCTCTCTCTGAGGTCACCTGAACCAGAGAGACATTGGGGTGTCCCAGTGCCTTGAGTCACCCTGAGTATTTTGGGTATTTCAGCAGTTATGTCAACCATCCTGCAGGAAACAATGAGAGTAACTTGTGGCTGGGAAAAGCAGAAGCATGTAATGGATAATTTCATTTTCCGTGGCTTTTGTGTTGATTTTGTAAATGCATATCATGTATTTATGTATGCGTGTATGGGAACAGGTAGGGTGAGGAATCTTGCTTTGTGTGGAGGGCAAAAGAGGTTTCTGTCAGCCCTGTATGCAAATTACTTGTTGTGTTTTTCCATTCATTCTAAAACTTCTTATTTTCAGTGGAATGTGATCAAATCTCACCTCCTCAATGGAAACTTGATGTCCAAGAGTACTTTGCTAAGTTTGTGTCATTGCAGTGGTGTGAGAGTTACTGTCCCTCTACTGCTAGTGTGGAGCTGGTGTGAAGTAATGTAAAGCAGCTTTTCATATTCCATAAAAAAATTCAGAGGCTTCCAGTGATGCTCAAACGCAGGACTAGGATCATGCTCTTATTAACAAGAAGGAAAAAAAAGAAAAAAAAAAAACCCCATCAATTTATCTGCTCCACCAAAACCACAAAGCTTGACATAATAATGTCACAGGTATTTTACAAGTTTTACAATCTTGGAAGAGAAATTATGCACTTGTTCATTGAAAAATCTTCAGAAACTCACCTTTTTATACAGTCTTGCTATACATAACCAATAGCATTCCCTAGGGGCTTCTTTCCAATCCAGTCCTACAGTGGCCAGCTATAATTGTAAAAAAGGGAATATCTGACGAGCTTGAAGCTGCCCCTAAAACCATTACTCACAATTTTCTTCAGTGCTGGAGCAATTGCCCTTAGCAAACATCATACTTTATAGTACTGACATATTTGTGTGCTGACACAGCATCTTATAATGTCCTAAAAATTTAGTATTGAATAAATTAAAAGTTTCAACAGCAACTAATGGACAGAATGTTTTATGATAAATTTGGACCAAATAATTAATTAATTATATTTATTGAGGAAATCTTTTTCTTCTGTCTGCTGGGATGCTTGAAATCTCATGCCATTTATAGGCCAGTGTGCTTAGTCTGATARTGAGATAACTCCACTACACATTTCTGCTGGGCATTAGTGAACGCGTTGAGCCACTTGTATGTTTATTTGCCCTCCACCATGACTCTTATATAAAAGAGATGTTACACTTTGGGAGTTTGTATAGGCTAGTAAACTTTCATATAAGCAAAAAATTTAATGGAAGAGAGGATCTGTGCAGAAATAAGAAGTGCCAGACGAATGAATCTGAGGGTTATTCACCCTCTGGATGTTGAGATCATGCTGTGCTAAATTTGATTACTTATTTAAAGCAGTGTTAACTTCACAGCAATAACACTGAAGAACAGGAGGGGTCTGGTTATTGTGAAGATGGGGAACTTCCTGAGCCTGGCTTCCTGTGAACAGATGGAATGACGTGGGATCACTGCATGGGAGGAGCAGGGCACTCCTCAGCCGAGAAGCACATCATTTTTCTGAGGGATGCAGTATCAGACACAGCCAGTCCCATGCCAGATTCACTCAGATTCAGTTGAGATTTTCCTTGCAGT